GTTTAATTTAATAACCACCAGGTGGCGCCAGCATGTGAGTTTACTGGTCAATTCTAATGAACAGATARGTGAGGAACATTTATAACAAGCAGCTTCTTACCGACCTTTAATTTGGATTAAAGTGTTGACACAAATTATGGTTTATTCTTTTTTTCTAGTAGTTTATTTGTTTTRGTTCTGCTTTAATATAATGACTTCTTGATTTTATTGCAATATTCAAACATACTTAAATCCTGACCATTTCAGAAATCAATTAGTATTTTTTTCTGTGCCAATGTAACATATCAATTCATTCATTTTCTCTTACAGAAACAATTTGCTTTCTTAAATGTTAAAGGTTTCAGAAACCTTTAAACAAGTGAATGGTGCTTTTATTTGCTTCTTCATTTTAAAAACATACATGACTTAAAACTGTATGATTTTAGAAGAATTTGGGTATTTGACTTGTTTTTTTTCACCCCTGCCTTTGTTTGAGCAAAGTGGATCAGCAAATCCTGAGTGGGATGCTGAGTTTGTTGGTAGAAAATATTCTGAAAAGATACAAAAATGTCYGTTTTTAATGAACAATATCAGCGTCAGCTGGTTTTAAGGTTTGTCTCCAACTTTAATCTGTTTATAAAACAGAGAAAAGTCAACTAACTTCAAAGTTTAAAAAAAAAAAACCTCCTGCCTCTATGATTTCCAAATCACTGGGGGTGGGGGGAGGGGGTTAGCTGTAAAGTATAAAGAGTTGGGGAGTATCTGACAGATCTAACATCCTTCACTATGGTAGGTGGAGACTGGAGGTGATGGAGATGTTGAACACGTGCTCCATCTTACATTTTACCTGCATTTTTACTGTCCTAAATACTGTTTTCTTTCCTTTTTCCAGAAATATTTATCTCTCCCGCTGCTGCTGCTCTCTGTGTGCTGCCCTCTGGTGAGGATGCTCTCTCCGCCCACCTTCCAGCACCAGGACCCGACCACCGGCCGGTCCCTGCAGTGYGACCGCTGCCCGCCGGGAACCTTCCTGCGCGCGCACTGCGCGTCGGACAAGAGCAGCCAGTGCGCTCCGTGTCCGGAGGGCTCGTACACGGAGCTGTGGAACTACATCAGACAGTGTTTGCGCTGCGGGGTGTGCGGCCGGAACCAGGTGGTGAAGAAGGAATGCACCGCACACAGCGACTGTCAGTGCGAGTGTAAACAGGGCTACTACTACAACCCGCAGTACAGCATGTGTTTCCCGCACAGCGAGTGTCCCACCGGACAGGGGGTCCTGACTCCAGGTAGGTCTCTGAGTGTGACCGAACGTGACCTAAAGATGTAATTATCATCATCTCACAAAGGTTTTTACTATTAGTCACTCAGTTGAACACTGAACCTAACCATTAGAACAATCACGTGATCTCATGTGAAAAACAGCTAAAATACAAATTCAATTCAAAAATGGATTCGTTTCATTAAAAAATACTATATACAATAATAAAAATAAACCTAAACTCTATATATAT